CGTCGAGCCGTTGAGTTACGCCCATTTAGCACGCGCATTGCATTAGACAGCCTGAAGAGCAACAGAGTTAGCAGGGGGGCTGGAGGGGCTGGAGGGTGGCATGTCCTGGCAGCCGCAGGCACGAGCGCACACATGACGTCACGTCACGTCACGTTGCATCAGTGCAGGAAGCCAGTCAAATCGAAGCGAGTGCGGGGTATCGACACAGAGCACACCCTGTGGTCTACAGGGTACTCTCTACTCCCCGCAATCAAAAATAAACTACTCGATCAGTGAATGTAATCTGAATACTCGTTCGAGGCTACGGAATTCTTTCCTCACTCCGATCTATGGCCCATACACGTATGCCCTCAAGTGAAACTTCCTTTACTGCTCTCCCCATGCGTGTACCCTTTCTCCACTACAGGGTACACAGAAATCACTCGGCCCTCGTCTGAATTTTAACAATCCCCCACTCTCTCGCACTCTCCTGCTCTCTCGCTCTCGTCTCCCTCGATCCCCTCTGACAACTTCAGTTTCACTCAGCAGCAGCAGCAGCCAAAGTTTAGTTTTGGCCAGGCCAACAAAAGCGCGTCAGGCGCACAAAAAACAGCACCAAAGAAGAAGAAAAAATAAGTTTTCGATGGAAGAAATGGGGGAAGAGAGTCAAGAGAGAGGAGTGGTGAGGAGAGGGCTGAGAGAAAAAAAAGCGCTGAGCAGTTTGAAGTGTACGTGAAATTTGCATAAATGCGAAATCAACGCGTTCGCTACTTGGCGCCCCACTCCCCTTGCGTTGCCGTTGCTATTGCCGTTGCCACCCCCTGGGGGAAAGGAAACTACAGACCAGGCCATGCCCCACCAGACCAGAGCACTTTGCCACACATATGGCTGTATAGCTGTATAGCTGTTGCTGGGGCATTTGCATGGCTTGTTATTCCTCGACAGTTCCTCGACTGCGTTTTTTCCACTCCTAATTCCAGCAGTCCCATCCAACTTTTGCCTGTTAGTGGGTGAATGTCGGCTGCGGCTGTGCCTGTGCCCGTGGCTGTGGCTGTCGCTCTGGAGCAGAGGCTTCTCACTTTTGTTTGGCCCAAAGAGCCAAACACATCAACAGCAGTTAGACAGCAACAACAACAACAACAACAAACCGAATGGATGGCCATGTGTGAGGGTGACGAAGCTGTAGATACCCTAAAAGATTCATCGCTGATCTGTTTTCTCTGCGTTGCCAGCATCTCTTCAACATCAGAATACCCTCGTTCGAAGGGCATTAACATCTTTGAAGTAGTTTCTCGCTTCTTGGGGTTTTGGGTGCCACTCGACTCGACTTGGGGGCAGCAAAATGGAAGATGGAAGCTGCAAACGCTGTAGCTGCCTCACTCGAGTGCCTTTTAATGAGCTGTTGGCCATGCAGTTTATTAATGTGCCGAGAGGAGGGGCCCGGCAAGAGGCAGACACAGATACAGCCGCAAATGCACAACAGCTACAGGAGGAATTTGTTTAGAGTTACGCGTAGATTGTGCTGCTCATTAGGGCTGGGCTGGGCTGGGCTGGGAGGAGGGAGAGGATGGCCAATTGATAAACATATTCAGGTGGAAATTGATGTGCAGCCAAGAGTAAACACCCGAAAAGTAGGGTACAGAAGGAAAGTACACAGGCCACTTTAGGGTAAGGGAAATCTCCATGAAGCCACAGCCATGGCTACCGTATGGTATGGCCGTTCGTCTAGCAGAAGCTCCACTGTGTATTTTGGAAAGCTCTTTTCGAACTCCATTAGGGAGTGTCCATTTGGACACTCAGATGAAGCAGGGGATATTTGTACGTACTCGTTCGATGCTTCGACGTTTGTTGAGCAGCGTGCGAAATGGCCAAATCGAATCGAATTTTCGACCCCAAAACTCCGCAAACTCCTCTCCTCTCTACTCCCTTCCCTACTGTTTGTATTCTCCTCTCATCGACCACCGTTCACCATGACATCATCTGTGGCAGAAGCAGTAGCAGCAGCATCATCATCATCATCGACTTTGACATCTGATGGTTCCACTTGGGTTCGGGTTTTGGTTTCGTGGTTCGCTTTCCTTTTTATATTCTTTTGTCTGCTCTTTTTTTCGCTGTTTTCTTTTCTACTTCTACTTCTAGTTCCATTTCGCTGTTTCCACTATTACTGTTGTTGTTGTGAGGGGTGAGGAAAGAGGAGGGGGAGGAGGGAGAAACTACTAATGACACGAGATTCAAAACTGCTTAAGATAACGGAGCAGGGGGAATGGCCCCTTAAAAAGTTTTCACTTCGTGTGTGGTGTAGGGGGTGTAAAAATCAATTTGATTCCTCATGAGGTTGGCCGCGTTGCATTTTGGCCATTTCCATAATGTTTCCATTTCCAGCGGCAGGAAATCGGCTTAAAATTTCTCACTCTCTCCCTCTCTTCCCCTCTGCCTCTCCCACTCTTTTGGCCACAATAACTTTTATTCAATTTCTGCGAATTTCAGTGTTTTGCCATCCCCTACCTCCCTCCCTCCCTCCCACCATCCAGCCTACCATCCACGAAAATGTGTTGGCCATAAATCTTTGGAATTACCGCATGCAAATTGATTTGTTGCTCTCGCTCCTGAATCAAAAATGCAGTCAATGCAGCGCAGAGGAAGGGTGTGGTGTGGCAGCTTGCACAAGGGGCATAAATAAATTGTAATTTGCCAATTGTGTGTATGTGTGCGTGTAAAAGTTATTAGCGACATGGCACCCGTATCGATGTCTCACTGTAGTGTTCCAGGAAATGGCCAACGCATCCCCCTGCCTCTCCCCTCCACTGACTCGTTATTAGTCATGAAGCAGCCATGGGGATTCGGTGGCCAACCGCCCAAAATGGCCCAGGGGCCTGAGGTTTGATTTTGGTTCCGGATCCACTGTCCACTGTCCCTTCAAATAATTTGTTTGCTAATTGTCGATGGCTTATAAGGGAATGGAGACCCACTACCCACTCCAATCGACAGTTAGTATCTACATATAGCTGACTCCTAGGGAAAACACATGCATTTATTCAACATTTATTGGGTGGGATCTCTGCCGTGCACTCTGCTCATGTCACTCCCTCCTCATGTCTATCCTGTCAATGGGTTGTCAGCCGCAAAGCATCCTTTGGCCAAGAGCATTTGAGCCAGTAATTAGCCAGGAATGCTACAGCTTTTACTCCTCCTCCTGCGGAACGTGTTCATCCTGGCACTTTCGTGTTGTTGCGCTTTTCCTTCTTTCAGTCGTCTGGCACTTTGAATCTCTGGCTTTCTCTCTCTCTCTCTCTCTATCTCTCTGAGCTTTTCGCATTTATTTAATATTTTAATTAAATTATTTCTGTGCATGTGCATGCCCCACACATGGGTGGAGGGGTGTTTGGAGGGGGGAGGGTTCGCTGGGGCGTCTAATGGGCCAACTTCATGGGGCACAAAGTATTTACATGCAAATGCCGTCAACGTGTTACGGCCTCTGCCTTGGCCTGAGCCTCGAACCTCAGAGAGCCTGGACTCCTGGAGTCCTGAAGTCGGAGCTGGCTCTGCTCCACGGAACCGTAGCTCTGGCTCTGGCTGTTGGCTCTGGCTGTGGCTGTTGGCTGTAGCTCTGTTCCATGGAGCCATTACCACCCGCACTTAACGTTAATTAAACTGCTGTGTGTGCTAAAATGTCTCTTTTCCATATGTGGTACTCTCGCATCCGCATCTCCCATCCCCAGTCCCCCATCCCCCATTCCACATTCACAAGCCTCCTGCTCGCTGCCAGCTGCTGTCGTTTTAATAGCTTAATGTAGTTACTTCCACTTTGAGTGTCTTCCACATGCTCTTCCACAAGCGGAGCGAAAGAGAGCCAGCCGCCAGCACAAAGAGCAAAAGAGAGGGACATATGGACATATGGAAAGACAGAGGGAGAAAGGGAGAACAGACGCAGCAGCAAATGTGTCTTTGCTAATAAAAAACACAACACTCAGCAAAATTGTTATGCAGCAAACTAAATCAACAGACACCCCTCATACCCTGTATAACCCCACCGCCCTGCACCACACCACCCTGCAGACGCACATACGGCGTACAAATTACAAAGCTATGAGGGACAGAGGGCCAGAGGGCCAGGGGCAGGCGGGAAGCCCATGTAAGCCACACTTACAACACGGCTCGGCTCCCAGCATGTGCCATTTCGGTGGGCGCTTGCTTACAGGACTCACTGTGGCCACCGCCAGGCCAGGCCTCACTGCAGATTGAAGGGGAGTGGGAGTACCAGGGGGAAGTGCAGGGAGTACGAGTATCTGTGTGTGCAAAAAAAAAGGGGCGATATCTAACAAAGTTTAACTCGTTTTATGTCGAGTGCCCTCTAGTACAAGACCCGGGGGAGAGGAGTGCTCGACCCTTACAGCAGAAGGACATGCAGGAGGAAGGATATACATATGTACCTACATATGTATGAGGATATAGAAATGAAAAGCTATCAGAGCAAACAGAGATTTATTCTGGAATGATTCTTAGGACAGCTTCTTCCTAGCAGGGGTCTGCCTTAGAAGCCATTTACAGGGCATCCGACAGGGCGACCCCTCCTCTGCGTGGCAGACCCTTGCAGTCAGTGAGCTGAATGTTTGGGCACACTCTCTTGGGAGCTTTTCTGCATACGAACCTGCCACACAGGATGGGGGGGAAACAGGAGGCAGCTGCAGCTGGCACCCAGAGTGTAGCACGAGTCCCTGTCCCTGGTGTCAACTGGTGTCTGGGACTGGTGGCAGGATTAGCCTGGACATGGCTGAATAATGTCTTTATTAGTCGGGCCCCCCCCCCCCCCTCCCACACCACCAAAAAAGAGTAGCAATCTCGGACTCCCCCTGGTCACTGCCTTTCGGTATTTTTTCGTGTGTGTGGGTTTCTGATTTCATTAATTAGTCGACGTACGTGATATCCAGTGTACGCTCCGTAGCAGCATACGCCGTGCAGACATTATTATTATTTACGCTATTTATTCCCCTCTTCCCCTTTTCTCACCCTCTGTCTTACAGTCTGCGCAAATAGAAAATGGCCCAACCACAACTGCTGCAAGTGAAGCTGTCACGTTTCGATGCCCAGCCCTGGGGATTCCGGCTGCAGGGCGGCGTGGACTTTGCCCAGCCCCTCCTCGTGCAGAAGGTAAGTGCCACATATTCGTAACACCACCAAAAAAAAAAAAAACTAAAATATACATAGAATAAAAAATATATTCTCGGTTATCGCAAGCGATTGATAAATGGCATTTTGGTGTCCGAAAAACGAATGCGGGGCCAAAAACGCGTGAAAATTCTTTTCATTTCGGGGCAGGAAAAATATGGAAAGCGAGCGGGAAAAATTGCATATTAGTTGAGCAGTTAATTTATTTATGCGTTTAAGTGCTTCGCTTTTCGTTCAAAAATAAATCCGCGGCTATAGGTTTTCGCTCTTTTTTATTTTTCTCTTTTTTTCATTTTCCGTGCGATTTTTGCGCACGTTACCCACAACAAATGAGTTTTATTTTTCCCATTTTCCAACAAATTTCCGCTCGCCAAACTAATTTGAACACAGATACACCGACACACACACACACACAAGCACACACAAACACTCATAGATGGTCGGAAAACCAAACGAAATTTGTTAAACATTCATAAAAGATTTTTGAACAATTTTACATTTGTGGCGACATGCCACACAAATTTCTCTGCTAAATCATTTTGACAACTTTATGAGCGCGCGAATATATCGAGGAGGGGGTCTATTACAGTACAGTACGTCACACGGCTCTAAGGCTGCTTGGAGGAGCTGATCAGAATCGTTATGTTTTAGATGAAGGCCCAGGCTTCCTTTACCTTCTTTTCTTAAAGTACTCTCATAGTTGGTTTTCGAAGGGTTCCGCTAAGTGATTCAGTATTATTAATCACCTTTGCAATGGTTCTCCTTATTGCAAAGCGGGTGTAAAGTGAATTCGGGCACGAAACGAGGAACGGACTCGAATGAATCATACAACCATGAGTCCATAGAGCGCCCTATCATCGCCCTGACGCGGAATCCACAGTTTCGTTTCTGACTCAGACTCAAACGCAGACCCATTCCCCTCCCCGTCCCTCTGTCCAACATGTCTTATCAGAAACCAATGTCAGGGGGGAGAGTGAGGGCATATTGGGCGTATTGTTCTCGTCATAAATAGAATTTCTGCCATCGGAATGGTATGCGCAAGAGAAGGGCAGGCAGGCTTTGTGTTTGTGGGGGGCATTGCTGAAATTATTGATTCAGAGACATATAGAAATGTAGGTAATTGTCCCCATTCCCGCCGTTTCCCTCCCCACCTTCCGAATGTAGAGTAAATGCTTTGCTGCGTTCCAAATGGAACGTGAAACAGAAATAAAACACACAAATTTCTGTGTTATTTTCTGTTATGTTCTGTGTTCTTTTTTTTTCTGTTTGCTTTGGCATTACAAATGGGTTCCACACGGGATGGTGGGGTGGGGGATATTTAGGCTAGTGGGCGTGGCACGTGCTAAATGCGCAATTTTCTATTTTAACAGCTGTTTTCGGTGTCAATGCCGCCGACATGGGGCCGCACTCGCACTCCCACTCCCCGCAGAGATATGTATTTAAAGAACAAACTCGTACTAGAATGGAAATCCATTTAAATTGATTTGTTCCGCGTCATCCATCAATTAAAATCAGACACTCCTCGACGCCTGCCGCGACGTCCTGTCCTCCAATTAGTGGCATCCACATCCACAGAAGCGGCATGCGTCCGTCCCTGTCAATTAGCCAACGAGCACGAAGGCCGCAAACAATGTTGGCCAAAAGTGCATCAGTCAGGAGAGATTTATGCGAAAATCACAAAGCATCAATTTAACGCAATTTGAACAATTTGAAATGGAAATATTTATGGACTACACGAGTCCCAGTCCCAGTCCTCGGGCATTGTTTGGTTTGTCTGCTCATAAATCGCAGTGCCAGGGCCAGGGACAGGACCTTCCCTGAACTATCCTCTATGCTGGCTGACCTGTCAGGGACAGATTCGCTGCCATCGTTTTTAGAACACTTCAAGCTCAATTGAATTGAGAATAGCGCACTTAAGCAGCATCCTTCGTAAGGAAGGAATGCCGTTTCTGCGTAAAAACTTTTCTCGTAATGAGCTGCTGCGTTGCCAGGACACCAGGACTTCAGGACACCGAGTCCTCTGCAGCGGAACTCTCGACTCAAGTCGGCTCAAACTAAGCATTGCCACTCGGGGCGGTTGGGGCGTGCACCTTGACAACAAATCATCCTCTCAGTCATCATCAGCATCCAATCATGTCAACTTCTTCAGCTCTTCAGCTGGCGGAGTCCTTTATCCTCCTCCTTTCATCTGAGGAGCAAGCAAATTGGTTGCTTTAAACGCTGCCACAGCTCATCAAGATGCAGCACACGAATCCCATCCCCATCCCACTCTCATTAAACCACAGCGAGAGAGGGAGAGGGGTCCGCCAGGAGCACATAAAAATAAGCTACTGAGCTGCTTAAATCGGATTAATTTATGATTTCTCGCTGGGAGGATGTGAGCAGCTCAGAGGAGTCGTCCAGTGTTCACTTCCAATCGAGGACATGGATGGAACCGCTTCGAACCGCTATGCTCTCGAAATGAAGTCCTCTTCCTGTTGCTCTCCGCCTGTCTGTCAGTCGTCCTGTGCTGTCCTGTCCTGTGTGTGTTATAAGCTTTATGCTCGCGGATTTCCAGCCCGCCATCAGCCCACACAAAGGGAGAGTCCAGTCAGTGCGAATGGGGAGCAGAAGCCACGTTTATATTTCATTATCAAGAGCAGAGTTCGTTTTGGGGCCAAAGCGAAAAAACAGCGTCACACAAAAGGCCAAAGTCAAATAAAAGCGAAAGCCAAAGCCATAAGCTCCATCCTCGGACTGTGGAACCACATCCGTACAAATAATGGAACAATAAGTAATACAAAAGCGTAAATTCGGTTTACTACAAATTTGTGCTCCGTGGCCAAAGAGCACTCTCGTCCACAGTCCAATAAAAAATAGCAACCAGCGGAAGGAGGACAGTCGGATAGCGACAGCGACAGGGACAGCGACAGGGACGGCGGCATCAGTGTCGGCTATTAGCCAACTTAAAGTCTAGACAAGCCGAACAGGAACGGGCGGGCAGGTTGATCTCCCGGTGAGAGCGAGAGAGAGGGAGACCAAGGACAGTGGATAACAAGCTACTGACGGCATCCAAGGCAACCGACGACGGCTTTCGGATGGCAAATCCAACTCACACATACATACACATACATACACATGTGTACCCCCCACTCGACCACACCCATTTCCTGCCTCTTAGTCTGCGTTTTGTTCATGCAAATCTGTTTTCGGCTGATTTGTGTACCCTTAAGTGAGAGATTTATCCAAGAGATATGCATCTTGAATGCAGCAATAATCAAAATTTAACAAATGGCAGATTATCGCACTGCAAGAGCAACGATCCAGTAAACCAGTTCCAACGCATCGACAGATCTTTGGCTTTAGCAAGGATTAAAAACGCCTCAAGGGTATCCACAGTTCGGGTCGCCGAAGTAAGTTTTCAGGCATTTTTTTGTGGTTCAGTTTCGTTTTGGTTCTGTTTCTGCTTGTTTTTCGGGCTTGTTTGTTTGGATTCTCCCGGAATCTGCACCCCTCTGCTGGCCATTAATTATTTGACTGCTGTCTGGGGCTGCCTTTGTGTCCGTGTTTGTCTTTGGCTCCGAACTATGCAGAATTCATAATTCTGCTCTTTGCATACCCTATTCGGGAGAGGCCATATCCCTGTAGTTCCGTTTCAGTGGATTCTGCTTCCATCGAGGGTATCTAGGGTGCCTGTTCCGCCAGCACTTCCGAATTATCCCTCGCTTTGATTTGGGATCCCTTGTAATTGAATATGAGCATGCCCGACCCCAAAGACACCCTGTTGTTGCGGTTGCCGGGACAACATTGAATGCCGTTTGCCAGTGCCTTTGCTTTCAATGTACTTGCACTTTTATCCAGCCACAGTCGACCGCAGCAGGCGCCTACATGTCAACATAATAGAGGAGGCAGGAGGCAGGGGACACCTGTGGCACGTGGCAAGAGGCAATAGGCATGAGGCTGAGGGCTGTTCGGCAATTCCTGATGTCAAGACATCTCGGGCTGCGGTGGTTCTCAATTTACTTGGACATTTTATTAATTGCAACACAGGGCAGCAGCAGCAGCAACAGCAGCAACAGTCAAAAACAAAGATGCAGATACATGAAAACTGCATTTGTGCATTTGGCAGGAAAATGTACAATGTACATTGTTGTTGAATTTTGTGTTGCGGTTTTTCTCCCATGAGCAGGAGATTCCGTTGATTGAGATTGAGATCGAAGGAATGGGGAAGCCACAGAATTGCACTGTGTGAGGAATTGTTTTGGTGGAGGAGGGGAGGAGGAGCACCAAGAGTCTGAAGACTGAAGACCTGCCGTGGCTAATGCCTCAGTAATTATCGTTCGAGCGTTAATTGATTTAATAAACGGGTATGTGGCTGTGGCTCTCGGTTCAGCTTCCCGTGATTCATCTCTGTCACTCCGCCAGTCGTCCACAAAAAGCGTAATTGATAAAAGCTGAGGCACAAACATACATACATATGTACATAAGGGATATGGGATACGATACGATATCCAGGAAACAAGTGCAACAAAAAGGATAACCAGACAGTGATTAAGTGCCCGGCTCTGGATCTGGGACTGCACGGAGGATGCGTTGCATTGCGTTCCATTCTGTTCCGTCAGCGCCGTTGCCTTTCCGCATTTGATTGATTATCAATTTTCACCGGTCACATACGCTTTAAGGCTGTTCTGCCCCTGCCCCTGCCCCGTGGATGCCCGTGGACAAACCAATCGAGGACTGTGGCTCCACTTCCTCTCCAGTGACTGGCTGCCTCGCATCGCATTGCCAATTTAAGAGTGTTGAAATTTATTGAACAATTTTCTGCAACTCCACATTAACGTTGGTTGTGTGTCCACATCCACATCTACATCCGCTGCCGCTGCCGCACCAGAGACTGCAGTCGGGTGGTGGAGCTTCCGTTTTATTTCATGCCTCATGCCTCAGAGATGAGCAGGAAGCCTCGTGAGTAGCGGCACCCCAAAGCTCCTCCGAACGCACACCTCCATTGTGGTCATGGAGTCTGCCTCTCACGTTTGCATCGCTGCCCCAAAAGCAGGTACATGGCTCCTGCAACTGAGAGCACGAGTACGAGTATCTTCAGTCGCTTTAAGACTGAAGTTCACTTGCACTTCATTGCACAAATACTGATGCTGGCACGAGTATCTCGTTCTAAAGCCACAAGCTGGGGCCTCGAGCACGTCTTATTTAGATTTATCCTGCCTGCTACGCTTCAGTTGAGTTGTCGAATTCGTGCCTCGTGCCTCATGCCTCTTCCTCTCTGTTGTGTGTGTGTTGGATATCTCTTTCGGCCTGGCTGGCTGGCAGGATGGTGGCTATATCTTTAATATATTATTGAATATTTTGTGGCCTGGACCGGAAATTGTACTAATGTCTAGCCAGTTCCCGGGCATGCAGCCTGCCGACTGCCGCCTGCACCCTCCTTCCAGCATCCTGCTGCAGCCGCATGCAAAAGTCACATAAATTTGTTCTGCTTTTCCACTGGCGCTGCTGCTGCTGCAGCTTCTGCGGCGTCTCCTAATCCTTGCGCTCAGCATATTTTTCCCAATTGTTGTTTCTGACTGCACTTACACACAAGAAAAGCATTCGCATTCGCATCCGCATCCTTGTGCGGAGAGAAATGGCTCCTTCGGTGGCTGCTTGCGGGATGTGTGTGTGTGTTCGTGTGTGTGCTATCTGCAGCCGTTTTGTTGTCCTTGCTTTTAAGTTGCATGTCAGCGAGCATAAATCCTTCAGTGGAAAATGCTCGCTCCGCTGCACCCAGAGCAAGAGCCAGAGCCTGAGCTGCACACACGCTCGAGTTACGAGTCCCTTGTCCCGATAGCAAGGAGTAAGCACCGCTCGACTCGAGTCCAAGCCAAGGAATTATTGGCCCTGCTCAACTCGCTGCATTATGTGCGCCATAAATATTTATAAGTTCTAAGGTTCCCTTCCACAACAAAACGTAAACGTTTAAAGTGCTCAACGATTCGGCGGGGGAATAGTGCGGCTTGAAACTCTTTCGGGCCGCGATATTAGTCAGCTAATGCACGATACCTGCCCCACGGACATGATTCATTTGCATTTGGCTACCTGAAACGCCTTTGCCTTTGTCTTTGTTTCTGTCACAGTTTCTGTCTCTGTTTTCCCAATCCTCGAATTGATATCTCTGTCTGCTCCGGCTCTCCTCTGAGTCACTGTTCATGCATGTGGCTTTATCTCTCTCTCTCTGTCTCTCTGGTTCTGCCTCTGAGCTGCTTTCCACACTTGCTGGAGTCTCTGATTTAATTGTTGCTTAGTGGATTTTCGCAGCATCAACCCTGGCTAACGGCAAGCCAAGCGGAAACGGAAATTGCGCGCACACTTATCTGGCATCCTCCTCTGACTCCTGCTGCTGCTGCTGCTCCTGTCGGTTGGTTCTCTGGTTATCGCCGCTTCCTGTGCGTGCGTGTGCTAAAAGGATATGCCCGGCGCAAATTGCGTGCTGCGGCGTAATCGAAATAAATTATGAGCCCAACTTACATTGTGGCCAGCAACCAGGAGTGCCCTGGATCCTGCCCGTATCCGGCGAGGGCTTTTAGTGTCTTACTGGGGAGTAGCGATGCTCTGCTCATTCCCCATTTGGCGAGACTCAGACTAGATGGAGAGTGAGAGAAGTTTGTCTGGCAATTAGCTCCAGGTAATCGGCTGCGATTTAAAGCCTCCTGGACGCTGGACGGACTTGTCGCTAATGGCTGCATCATTGACATGACATATGCTGCTTGTATTATCCTGGCCATTATTTTATGCCTCGCTTTTTATGGCTCCATCTCTCTGTCACAGTCCCCGAGGGCATGCGTATTTGCCATGACGATATGTCATTGATTCTCAGTTAACGCAGACGAGCCTGAGACAGGGCCAGAAGCCGAGTGGGGCGGCATCCCCATGACAGCCATTACGGACCTATGTCCTTCCACAGACTACAGCTTCTGCCTCTGCTTGATCTGCTCCATATCTTGGTCCTGCTTCTGTTGTGTGTGCCATCGAGCGCCTTTGGGCCATGATATATTATGGCCTGTCTGTCGCCTTGTCTTGTTTATTTGTGTTATTTAGCCGCACAGCGGGGAAATGGGAAATGCCAGAATTTTTATTGTTATGACGCATATCTCGTGTCCGTGTCCGTGTCAGCCTGCACAGCATATCCCTGAAATAGAGACCTTCTTGATTTACTTGTGATTTATTATATCGACTGGGGCCTTCAATCTAAATTGATTGAATATTTACTAAACGTCTCCGGCATGGCCTTCTAAATGGTCCGCAGCTGCGGCCTGTCGCCATCGATCCAGGGACTTCCCCGGTCCTCTTTAGAGTCTGCTCGAATGTGTTCGGGGGGCGACTCGAAAGCCTCGAAAGTCTGGAAAGTCTGGAGAAAAAAGTCAATTTTGTTAATCAACACGAACGACTTAATCCAAATTGAATGAACTCGAACCTTGGTGCGCTGCCAAAGCGGATCAGCGACTACACATCATCACGGGGCGAAAATGTGAGAAATAAAAGCAAGCAAAAATTTACACATTTTTCGCATTTCCGCTCCAGCTCCTGCTAGGGATGCTGCTGCTGCTGTTGATACTGCTCCTCCACGTCCATTGCCACGTGCTCCTTCCTCCCTCTTGGCTGCGAAACATTTGCCAATAAGTGACTACGGCTGCCAGCAGCTATCCGAACCAAAACCCAACCCCAAACCGAACCAAATCGGCTCAAGGCTCACAGAGCTCTCAGGTGAGGCCCAGAGGCCGAAAAAAAAGCGAAAATTGAAAAACGCAGCTGCCAGGGCCATAATAAAGCCAAAAACCCAACAAAAAGCAGTGCCAGAGAGCAAGTGAATCGGTTTTTGTAGAATGGGCGGACAAGTCAATGTCTGTTTGTGTATGGGTCGAGGTGTGGGTGTGGGTGTGGCAGAGCCCATAGCCGGCTCAGCCACGCTTGAGGTGATAATGTAATAAGCACTTTTTATGACCCAACAGGATTTAGACCTAAAATTCCAGCCAACACTCGACGAGGGGGCATTGTTCTGTCTGGAAAGTTCGCTAGTTTCGACGACCAACAGGCACATCCGGAATGCCATGGCCACTGCCCACCCCTACTCCCGCTCAGGCTTCTGTCCTGACCGGGATTTAGATTTCTGCCTGCAGTTGTTTGAGCTCAGCCGAACATATTGTTTCCCTTTTTTGTTTTGGACAGGGCCAGGGCCACGACTGGGGACTACGACTGCTAATTGGTAGCATTCCCATTTGTGCGGGGCCGCGTGCGATGCATGTAAAAGGGATCAGTGCCATGTGTGCAGTGGAAAATAAAGGAAATGCCACACTCACCGCCTTCAATTTACTGGGAAATTGCAGCATCTCACCTACCTGAATGAAAAATTAGAAATTCTGTGAGAATTCCACAATTTTCAAATTTAAGTCCTTACCTTTCATGTGTCTTCCCACGCAGCAACGCACGCACGCACTCATCTATGAATGCATCCTCGTCATCATCTACGGATTTAGCTTGGACTTGCAGATTATATGGCACAGCAAAAAGCATACGCTGATGGACACACACTTGCACGTTTTATTGAACTGATTAACTGCACTTTCACACCAATTAAACACTTAATTCGCCGCAATTAGTAAAATTGCGCAAAACACAACTTTTTGGCGGCAGCCGATAACGCATATCGATACACTGTATCGATACTGGGGATGCGATTTGAGGCCCATTCAAAATGTGAGCGGGTAAAATAAAATTGTCGAATTAAAATTAAAATCTTTTCTTAATTGGAGCAATTATGTGAAATGTTCACAGTATGCAATAATTGATTAACAATAGCAAAAAGCTCTATTGGCTATCGATAAGCTCTTGAGGCGCCCATATCTCCTTTTCTGAATCTTAAACCCAATCTTTTGATATTTTAAAAAGTTTGCGTTAAGTCACCCGAAGTTATTTGGCTAATGCAGCCAATTCCACGCAAAAAAAGACCAAATTGAATCTTGGCCAACCATCGAATGGCATGACACGATCGGCGACCGAACTATCGATGATTTGCCTAATAACTTTTCCCCATCCGCAATTTCGCATTATTTTCGTGAATTTTTTTTTTTGTCTGCCATTGGCTCCATTAAGTTGGCCCATATGGACCAGTGCTTTCCTCCATTTAAGACTCTTAAATGATTAACGTCGCGACACGGCAGTCGCATCAAACGTAAAAATGCCCAGCGCTGTCATTAATATAAAAATGAAATTACCTTCGTCCCTGCCAGTCGGCATTAAAAATGGGGACAAAAAAGGCAAAAGGACGCCCACAATGTTGTTGCCTTGAGTGCGCGCATCATCAAATTGAAAAATGTCGACGATAGAGGAAAATGGGAAATCAGAGAGCAGTCGGCAGCCGGGAGGCGGAGAACAATGTGAAAGACAGGCGATTGAAATGGAAGGAAAACAGGTAAAAGGTAAGCTGCCACGCCCTGGAGCGTGCTCTCCTTGTTGTTGCCGGTTGTGCTACGGTTCTCTCCGATTCACCAGCCCTGCTGTGGACGCGGCCCAGTTGCATTGACAATCGACAAATGAGGAAAGATAATGCACAGCATTAATCTTGCTACCAGCAATTTGTCAGTGTTCCTCCAGGTCTCTGTGCCTGTCTCCCCTGCCTCATCTCTCTCGCTCTCTCTTTGAGTTCTCCAGTTCGACATGCCAAATGCAGTTCAAATATTGTGTGGCCTGGACAGGGATCGGATTGGGTCCGGGCGCACTTGAGTTTGCCCGAGTTTGTCCCTGTCCTGTCCGCTTCTAAACGTTGCTTTCATCAATTAATTTACAATTTGCCAGACATCCGTATCCGCATACGGAGTGGAGTCGGAGTAGCAGTCGCAGTGCAGTCTCCAGCTACCATCGATGTGCCGGACTGTTGCGGTCAGCGTGGGGGCTTGGCATACTTTTTTTTTTCTATTCCCCCGTTGGCCCAGTAATGGCCATGTCCTTGTTCTGCATCGCATCCCTCTGCCCCGCCTGATGAAGAGCAGCCGTAAATTGCATTGGTTTCCAACTTGTTGAAAGGCACAGAGCACAGGGAAATTGCAAAGAGTGAGAGATGCAGAGAGGGAGAGAGTGGTCGAGCGAGGGGCGACTTAAATGCTTTTCAATGTTTTTCCATGTGCTAGCTGTCCCGTTAGGGACTCACTTAAATTTGCTGTGTGTTAGAGCGAGCGGGCCGAGCCGGAGAGCGAAACCCAGTGGAGTGCCGTACCCCGTTTAATGCTCACAATTTAGCTTTTAATTAGATCGGCAAATTTGTTTTCAAACCATTTTGTTCGCTCGTGCGGCCAGAGCATACAAATTTCCAACAGGGGACACGCTCTCTCCTGTGACTCCTCCGTCTCCGTCCATTCCTCCCACCCTATTTCTGTGTTTCTTTTACTGTCCCTGCACGTTTGGCCATGGAATTAGAGTGCTTACGGTTTTTCATTTTAATTGTTTTTGTGCGGCGAAGGCGAAGTGTTTGTCCGTCTTTCTGTCTCTCTTCTCCAAGTATATTCCACAGACGGTAAGGCAGTGCGAGGGAGAGAGTCCTAAGGCAGGGTATCTGTGGAGCGGGTCTGCCTTACCTTCCACCTAATTTACCTTGTGTCTCTCTGTCTGTCCTTTTTCCACACCCCCATCCTTGCGTATTGCTTCTTCGCCGTGTCGCTGATTTATTTATTTCTATTTGCCGTTATTTTTTTCTCTCTTCTTTTTGCTTTTATTTTCACGAGCGCGCAATTGCGGTCGTTTTGCTGCCGCCGCCCACCCTCTGCAGCTGCCGCAGAATCTCCTGCTATGCTCCTACCCCCCTACCCTTCTGCTGCACTGCTGTCTGCGTGCCATGCTCTAGTTTTCTATTTTTGCCTTCCCCCCAGACGTAACGGCAACCTTAATCACGTAATGATTTTGAGCGAGCAAGTGAGTGAGAGGCGCGGGTGTCCGAATTGTGTGCTCTTCTTCTTCTTCGTCCCCTTCTGGCATCCATCCTCCCCCGCCACGCCGCTTCAGCTGTTTGTTCATTCATTTCGGGTTTGTTGCTGCTGTGCTGTGCTCTCTCCGGCATCCGCCATGCCATTCTGTATTTCGCAATTGGCACAAATCCCGGCATTCGCTCAACGGCACAGCTAATGGCTAAATGCTGAGCGCTGAATGCTGTGCGGCGCTAATTGAAATTACATTTCTTAAAGTTAAATATTTAATTGAGAGCTGCCAAGCCGAGCGAGGAGTGGAGAATGAGGCGCAGAGTGCTTGAGTGGATGGCTTAAAGCTGTTTGATGAGAGCATTTAATATGAGCGTAAGCTTTAATTGGAAGCTGCTGCTCATTTTCCTTTTCCATACAAGATCTATCGTCATTTCGGTGACTATTCGGCTTTCTTTTCTACTAGTTTAAGGTCTCCCCTCCTCTCCCCTGTCACCAATCTCTGGCTGAATTGTTTTTGTGCCATGTGGATCATTCGTCATTTCGGTGCCTTTCATGTCCGAGTCCCTGGTGGCGCGCCTCGCTGCGGCTTGTTGCATCCCCATGGATGTGGCTGCCACAGAAGAAAAACAAAGACAGCCGCTGCTGTTGCTGTTGCTGTTGGTACTGCTGCTGCTGCGGCATGCTTAGAATTCTCGACACGAGCGACAGCGAAAGCGTCGCCAAATCCTAATTGCATTTGTCTGATTGGAGTAGAGGCAGAGGCAGTGGCAGTGGCCGTGCGGCACTGTGGCAGTGTTGCAGCTGCAGCAGCTTCTCTGGTGTCTGCAGTCATACGAGGCCTATCCACACGAGACTGTAGATGGAGCTGGATCTGATGCTGATGTTGAATACGAATCTGTTGCTGATGATGATGCTGATTCATTAAATTGGTTCCACTCTGCCGCTCTGCCACCCTGCCCCTCCTTGGGGTCTTATGACAGGGAACATGTAAATGCCATTTACTGTTTCCATTTCGATTTCTGTGTCGTGTCTGTTCGGTTCTGTTCTGTTCCAGCCTCTGCCTCGCCATTGTCTTGTCATCCCCATTGTCAGCGGCTGTAGCGAGGGGCCTGGCAGGGCATGGCAGGGCAGGGCAGTCTTTTGGCTCAATTGAAATTCCATTTAATGTAATTTGAGTGCCATCATTCATGCCTCAGATAACAGTGGCAGACACATCAGTGGGAGAGACAAGAGACAGGGATAAGGAAGAGTGATTTTTGGTTAGTCCGAGATTACGCTTAACACGATTTCAGGGCTGTCAGAATTACGTTCGGCCTCTGATTGATAGATGGATCGTCTTCCAGGAACATCTCTCTCTGTCCATCTCTCTCTCCCCCCTCGATCAAGCCATCAGGCACATGTGCAACACAGTGAAACATCAAACAAACGCGTTGCACAATCGTATGCCCCAGACACAGGGAGTTTATTTAAAGGTTTGACCCAAAAGAAGATGCAGGCCAACACGAGACTGGACCTGGACTGCTGCAGAAGCATTTCGACACGTTCGTAAACAATGCCCCGAAACGGACAGTGGAAATGGGAAAACGACGGGGAAAACAGGAAAAACACACACGCACAGTACTCGTTCGTCTGTTGCAATATAGTACACAGCATGCGGCAGACGGGAAAGTTTCACAATTTCCCTCGCCACACAGCACACAGATCTTGGGGATTCCCTGGCAACCGATTTTGGTCTTCATTAGAAATTTTCTCGTGGCGTGGAAATATAATTTATGCATGTGGCAGTGGCAGTGGCACAATACACAAAGGGTTCCACAGCTCAGTGTTCAGGGTTCTGGGTTCAAGGCAACCGCAGCAACAAGGACCAACATTGACGCTGACGACACTAATTAAAAATGTTGGCCAACCCTTCGAAGGGCTCATGCGGCGACTGACAACAGCAGAAGCAGAAACAGAGGAGGAGCAGTCACAGCCAGAACCAGAGTCCGTGTGGAGGCTGAAATTGAAAAGCCGACTAAGCTCCCAGCTCCAACAAAATCCGCTAAATTCACCAACAACCCGTCACAAAAACAAACACGGACGGACGCAAGGTATATGCGGTGGACGGTGTGCCAAAGCGAGAGAGAGGCAACACCTCATTACCCTCTCCTTCACGCAGCCTGCAGCGACCCAAGCCAGGGGACACCTTTCGACCTTGCGACCCGCGACCTGCGACCTGCCTGCCTGCCACCCATTGATGATGTTGTTAATGGAAAAAATCTCAACACCCTTTCGCACACACACACACACACAGATAGAGATACCAGAGCGAGAGAGAGAGGAGAGTGAGTGAGGGAGTGGGACAGAGGTTGGCGGAGAGAGTCAAACAATGGCGCGTAATTTTACAAAATTTACATTCCTTAATTAATCTTGTTTGCGCTGCGGCAGTTGCTGCCAGTTGTCCGCCCGCTCCCCTGTGGCACCACTACCCCCGCAACCCCCAAACCCCTTCACCCCCACAGTGTGTGTGCTCGGGGTTTTTGGCTGCGCAGATCTCGGGAGGCGCCTCAGGGGGCAACTAACACCAGGATCC